ATTTCCTCATATCTTCTTAAGTAGCTTGCCAAATGGCAGCCCGATCAAAGCAATCTAATATGGCTTAAGTGCCACTGGTTGACATTTTGCTTTCTTTTATTGCATTCCATTTTTATCTACATAGAAAAGTTGGTGATAACTAATATCCAGTTGATCTTTTCATTCTGGTAATAAAATGATAATACAAAGATCTTATTATCTGTCCCAGACATCCATCAAAGTACGTTTTCCAATAACACACTGCTCAGAATGTTTCTTATCAATCTCCAAGTCAAAAGTGAGGTTAAGTACTTGCCCTCAGATTCCCTTTTGTCTCCAGTACATGAGCACTGAAACACAACAAGAATTTGAACTTCAACCCTTGACATTTTGCCCACATTAATGTCATCTGGAATTTTGTCATTTCTGCATCTTAGATAAACTACTTTCTGTGAGAAGCCAAAAGGAGTTGGATGTTCTGCCTCCTAAAATAATGGTTTTAACCCCAGAGAATTTTTATTCTTCTAAGAAAATAAGAGGAATGAGTACAGGAGAAAGCAAAATCATTATAAATGGGGAAGTAAGAAGAGTGAATGGGTAGGAAGGAGGAGCAGGTGGGCAGAAGAGACTCATGTGTTAAGGTGTAAGGAAAGTCAAATAAAACAAACAAGCAACTCACAGATAGTGAGTTCATTAAAATCCATTTTTCTATGGATGTACAAGTGGCCCTAAGCCTTCCTGTGAGCAGAAGAATATTCTGTGATTATGCTATGATTTTGGAAAAACAAAAATTATAGAAAACAATTACATAAAAAAGTATAAAAGCCTCTTTGTATCCAGTATACCAAATAGTTACTGAGCTTTAATACTCAGCTACAGTCGATAGAAGCAATGTTAGTTTTCAAATTTTCAATGCATGTAAACCTTCAAACTTCAGAACACAAGATTTTTGAGGAATAACAGGAGAGAAAAAAATTGAACTATTTAATCAAGCAATACACCACCAACAAGGCCAAATTTTCAGGAAAAGAAAATGCCTAATCTGTTTGGTTTTTATTGTTTGGAATTAGTGGGCTTCAGATTTGAAATTGTTTGGAATTATTGGGCATCTTGGTCTCAGAGTTACCAAGACATTGGGCTATGTTTTTTGGCAAACAAAAAGAATACAGAAATAGACCAAAGGCCTGTGCAGACCCTGCTAATAATGCACTTCAAAGAATTTCACAAGGAATAGAAAATTCCTTTTGCATTCTTTATACTTTAAAAGACTTAATAAGTTCATTCAATACTATGGATCAAGAAAGAGGCTGTCAAACACTAACCTTTTCATGTAAATAATTCTTGAAAATAATTTGTTAATATTCAGTATGTTAGTATATATTTTTAATGAAAATTTTTATGTCTATAATTTTTTCATTAATTCAAACAATTTTCCTTCTTATGTTAAAAGAATGAGTCTTTATAATCATTTCCCATCTATCTTTATTAAAATTTCCTACACTGTTCAGGGAAGAAATTATCAGAGTTAAAAGATGGTGCCTCTGTTAGCAACTTTGATATAAAATTATTGAATCATGATGTTTATTTTCAATACTGGAGATGATGGAAGAGGCAAGGTTAATCTAAATGTCATTTTATTCCCATCCTGAAGAGAAGAGAGAGTCATAGATAATATATCTTTATTCTTACTTTCCAATTCATGAATTTTCAAAAACTGCCCTAAATTTAATTCCAAATTGCAGATACCAAACATATTTTAGCAATGGTGTAAACTAATGTATATCTGTGAACTCATACTAGTCTGGGATTGTGGGCAGACACATTTTGTTTGCAATCAGAAAGATCAAAACACCCATTTTGACTCTGGAAAGGCCACTATTCATACAGATGGCTCATTTTAAAAAGTACCCTAAACATGCATGAAAACAAGTTTTTGACTTTTAAATGAAAAGAGGCTATCTTTCTTCCATTTAAAGATTCTTGATAGCTTTGCCTGTAAGGGGGAAAATTGTGGCAGCAAAGAATCTGAAAGAGAGAGTCCCAGGAATTCAAAACTGTCCTTTTTCAGAGCAGCTTAACAAAGGGCTGTCCATGGAAAATTCTATCACTGCATCTAAGCTAGTGACACAGGAGTGGCTGAGAAAGAAACATATCTGCCATCTCTTCCAGTCCTGCAGGTTTGAATATAAGCAGTTACATCCTTCTCACCCATTCTTCAATATCTAAAATTGGAGAATCTGATACTATGTATGTTTTACTTTCCATATCAAATACAGATGCCGTAAACTTGGGGGACAGAGAGTACAGGAGGAGAAGATGACTGTAGAAAATGCTAAGCAATTTTAGGTGAACGTAGGAAAATTTGTCTGAGAAGGTTTCTCTTCAAACTTAATAATTGAGAGTTTAATATTAGCTCTCAATGTAAGATAATCTTTTCTGTTATGGCTTATATATTTCCTGTGGCAATTTTCTTAAAGACATCAATTGAAGCACTTCATATTAATCTCACAACACAGTTGATATCATAATTATGGTACAATTTTTAGAGAAGGTGGTGTTATATAGCTGTGATTTAATAAATGTACATTAATCTTTTCAGTTTCAGGCAAACCTCAGACTCACAGAGAATACATATAATAAATCAGGCTTTCATTCAACTATGAGTTTGAATAAAATACAGATATTTTAAATTTATTTTTATTGGGTAGCAAATGCACTGCAGGTAGAAATGTTGGCTGATTTAATCACTGTAAGTTAGGTTTGCATTATTTGTTTTGCAAATTCTTACATTTCCTCAAAATTGAGTCTTCTTCATTAAAGTTCCCAACTACATCTGCTCACTATTTCCCAAGTAAGACAAAGGTAAAGAAAATGACAACATTACCTGGTCATTGAATGTTCTTTCCAGTGACTGCTGTCCACTTAAGGCATGTGCAGTCCTGTCCAGTTGTGCACTGAAATCTCATAATCATTCATTCAATATTAAAGTAATTTAAGTATAACTCATATTCTTTAAAAGGGGAAACTTTAAACCAGCAGAAATCTTGTCTTTTTTGCTCCGCTGCCTTTCCCATCCTCCACCCAGACACTAGTATGGCAATATGTAAATCAATGGATGTGTAACTGATGTGATTCTGCAATCTGTGTATGGGGTGAAGGTGGGAGTTCATAACCCACTTGAATCAAAGTGTGGAATATGATATGTCAAGAAATTTGTAATGTTTTGAACAACCCACAATAAAAAATTAAAAATAAAAAAAAAAGAAAATAATTTCAAGGTAAGAAATAAAAAAATAAATAAATAAATAAATCTTGTCTTCAAAGTTATTCTTCTGTAGACTATCCAGAGGAAAAACCAGCTCCCCTTAATACCAGAATCTCATGGCATTGGCCAAATGAGTACATGAGTCTATGAGGGTACTATTATGAGATTATATATATAAAGCCACTGATGTAGCAAGAGAACAGAATCACATTTGATTTGGTTAATTCATCAATTGTTAGTGTTTAAATAGTAACATTTTATGAATTTCATGATCTATATTTAATATAAATAAGAGAAAATAATATATAAGATAGCGGTCTAGAAAAGCATATTCCCCAACATTTTTTAAGATCAAGAAAATCTGTAGTTGCATTGAAGAGTAAATCTGACTTTGTGAGAGAGTATGTCATGAGTTGACATTTTCCCTACATATACGTCTCAGAGCTGAAAATAAAGTGGATCATGGTGTAAGACTTGTAAAATGTGTTGTCCTTTTCAAAATGTGTAAAAGAGATAGGATTAAAAAGGAGATAAGGCATACTTGAAAAATTCCATTTGTATGGGTGTTTAGAGAGGTTATTTTCAGGAAATGTTCTGTTTCAGATGAGTTTTTAATGCCTGGCATGTTAACTATATTTTGTAAAAGATTTAATGTCCTAATTAATTTACCTTTTTATTGTGATTGGACAGACTGACTTTAAAATACATCACTGCAAATGTGAGCTGTATGAATACAAATATGAGCATTTGCAATAGAATGAGTTTTATTAGAAAAATTGTCTTGCTTTCGCCAATTTAAGACCACCATTTTGTTCATCAGAAGACTTACTTCCATTTGGAAACACAGCCTAAAGTTTGGGAAATAAGCTCCATCAACTCACACTCAGCTTTCTTCCAAGGAAATAGAACACTGTTTTACCATGGTAGTGAGTGATAAGAAGTTTATTAGAGTCATTTTATTAAATAGCTAATGGCTTTGTGATCACTGGAGATTTCTTTATGTGGTCAGCAAAACCTGGAAAAGAAAAACCTAAACATTGATGTAAAGAAATAAAATAAATGTACTTTTTAGATAATGCTACAACTCAAAATAAAATCACAGTCCTTATCTCCTTTCAGATCTCTAGTTCAAGTTCAAACAAAACTCAGTCCATGCATCTTTTCTGACTCATCATTTGGCATGCATATCACAGATTTGAAGGGTTTTGGTTATTTTTGCAGATATATGATAGGGATGTAAAAATTCATTATGTAAATAGTCTTAATGATCAAGGATGAACTCTTTAATAATTTTGTAAGAACATAGAGCTTGGAAAAACACATTTTGCTATGTACAACTTTGAGTTTAGAAGGATTTAATAGTAATTCTCAAAGTGAGAGAAGTTAAGCACTTGCTTTCCATATTTTAGAGAGAAAAACTAATGAAAATAAGACTCACAGTATTTTCTACTGGAGTCCCAGATTTGGCAAAACAAATGTTACTTGAAGTATCTGAAGGTTAACGTAGGTGTTTGCACTTTCTGTTACAAAATACTTGCCACCTCTTTCCCACATGGGAATGGGAAATGCAGTGGGAAACTCTTCAGCTGTATGATCTTCAAAATGAATTTTTACAACCCAGATGATGGACTGGTCTACTTCAAAAGTGAGATCATGAGTTTTCTAAATGCATTTCTCTTGTTTTCTCTCTTTTTTCTTGACTAGCTTACATCATAATGGAGGAATAACATTTTAAAAATTTTGAATAGGCACTTACTGGAATTACAGTTAATCCTGATACAATCTAGATGGGGAAGAATAGATGAAAAATGAAAATTTATCCTTCAAGGTAATAGCTGCAGACATCCAATAAAATCACAGTCCACCCTTCCGGGGACAGACACATGCAAATATGGCCACTCTATATAATTATACTTTACATACTTCTAGATCCCAGAATTATTCTTATAAAACTGCACCATTGGAAACAATAGTAGAATGTTTTAAAAAATGGCCAATTCAAACAAAGCTACATGGTGACAAATCTAAGTGAATAAAGAGTAGTTAACTGTCAAAGATGCTTGACTTAGACTGGTTGCAACTTTCTCCCCATCTGTGAAAGAACATATCATTGTTTTCAGCAAAATTAAAAAGTGCTCCGTCACAATGGGGTGCAGTGCAAGCTCAGCTAGGCTTAGACATCTTGGACCTCCAAAATCTAATATCCCACAAAGGCCAACACAGTCCTTCAGAATTGAAATGGTCAAATGGACAGCAAGGTAAAATTATTGTCATTTTACCCTAATGTTTGATTTTTGTTTGTTTGTTTCTTAATTTTATTTGCCTGGGTGCAAATAGGTAATAGCGAGATGTTGGCTGGCTTCTATACCTTGTATTAATCGGAGGAAGAGTAAAACAACTGTATGTAACCTTTAGAAATGACAACGGTTAAGTGGTAGTCATTCTTCTGAGCCCACAAGCCTATGCCTTTCTTGGAGCTACCAATATTACCTCCATGGAATAAGGGTCATGATGAGCACTGCTATTGCTTTTCCCTTTCTTATAAGGGACAAGCAAGTACTAGAAGATCAGAATGTCTAGTGTGGATAACACAGACTGTGATTACAGTGGTTATTTTTTTGAAAAAAAAAACTGCGTGGAATGCTTGTGTTTATCTATAGTATACACTTGTTGGCTTTGGTTTTAATATTTAATGCCTTTGGGGAACATGAAAAACATAAACCTAGATTCTGTTTCCATATAGCTGAGTTTGTCATGTGTCGTCAACCGCATCAGAAAAGTGGTTGCAAACAGCCAAGGACCAGCACCTACACAACTCTTTCTACAGAATGCTTTGCTGTTGAAAATATTCCCAGGAGTGTTTCCACTTAGATTAGCAGTCTCTTGACTGCAATTAGGTTGATTGCTTTTGATTGACTTGTAGTAACCTAGCATTGTCACTAGAGGGAACTCTAACAGAACAGAAGAGGATAGTGCTGTGTGTTAAGTAGTTAAAGAAAAAAAAAAAAGAACTTTATTATTTAACTTAATATCACCAGTGTTAGTTGAATGTAATTACATGCAAGAAACTATCAATGGGTGGATTTTATATTTTATGAGTTACCATTCTGCCCAACACAATTTGAAATTGTAGGTAGGGTTTGTCATAAATGTCTCATGTCATCACATTTGACAAGTGTTTTTTATGCATCTATGTGATTTAAGATGTTTATTTTCCTTCCTCTGTTTATTCATTGCTATGTGTGCTTAACACTTTCTTGAAACACAGTAAAACCTCATTCATTTTTACTCCTCTTATTTGGAGTTAATGTTAATATTGATACTTATTGGGCAGAATATTAAGTCTTCATTTTGTGGAAACTCAGATCTCCTTTAGAAAAATTAAAATAAAAAAAAAATCCTGTAAACAAACCATACTTTGAAAGTCCAAGTTCGGGATCTGAACTGATTTCAAGTACTTTGCTGTGAGATGATGTCATATTTTGCAAAAAACAATGTGCTAATTATGAATAAACCATATTCATCCATTAAAAATCAGCCTTGCAAGCCCCTTTCCTTGACAAGATTTTTCCAGTTATTAATTTGTGATTTTCAATCTAATTGAAAAAGATAAATTGCTTCCATTTTAAAATCTGTAATTCATATTTTCTCTTAATTCAGCCTGACCTTTCCCCCAAATGCATCCAGATTGGTGAGGTTTTACTGTAGAGACTCTTACTGCTACACATAAGCAGGAAAGCATTGTGTTTCTGTAGAAGAGCCTGTGTCCTTAGTGTTCTCATGGCTGTTTGCTGAGGGCCGCAGACTTTGGGCGTTGAAGGGTTGTGGATTGCTGTTTGATAGCAAAATATCACCACACAGTACTTTGAAATAAAAAGGATGGAGGACCACAAAGGTGACTGTTCAAAGGAGAAGCCCATTAAGGAGAATAAGAACAACTGCTGCTGATCTGGGCGACAAAGCTAAAATTTGATATTTTGTTTGCAAATTAAGTAAAACTAGACAGATTTTTTTTTTATTTATCTGCCAGAATATCATCTACAGCCAATAGGAGAATCAATTAATAGAATAACAGGGAATTCAGTTGGAGGCATCATTAAGCCTCATAATTTACATTTTCAATTCACCTCCCTGATAGATCCAGCTTCCCTTTTAAGAACCTTCAGTGGTAGGAATCACAAAACAGTTATGTTAAACAGAAAAACAAAAAGATGCCCCCCCTCAACCTAAATTAACTTAAATGATGGAAATAAGACCATTAAGTGTTTTAACTTTCCATGGCAAACAGGCTACTTGATAGATGTTTGCAGGCAAAACTGAACAAAAAAGTGAGTAAGTGTTAGTTCAATGGTGGAAGGCAGGTGGTTACCTAGATTGACCGTCAGTTTCACGCGCCCCGCGTCCAGCTCCAGGCGGAGGGTGTCTGCGGAGTCTCTGGACGTGGTCGCCATCAGAATGCCATAGGCACGCTGGGACCGGAACCGTAAGGACACGTCCTCTGCTTCCGTGTGCATCACCACCGGGAGTTGGATTTTCATAAACATACTCCCGTCATAGCTCAAAACCGTGGCCTCTATGGATGGGAAATGAATAGAGCAAGTTCTTGGTCATTTAAATGCATTTAGAACTTAAAAGGGAAAAGGGAAATGCATTAAAGACTTCTAGAGAGAACGCAAGACTACAAAATCAGCCCATCTGCCTCAGAAAGGAAATTTTTTTTTTTTTTAAGAAAATTGGAAAGAAAAGTCACAATCTAGAGAACTTTCTTAGTGAGGTATCTGCTGCAGTGCAGAAACAGCAGCACCTCTTCTTTTTCTCCCCATAGCACTCTCCACCTATAGCAATGACTGTATTAGATTGCAAGTGTTTTATATGCACCTCCTTCTCAAGAGCAAGAGGTCATACTCTTTTGCATAGCTCTACAGGGTGAACCTGGCTGGAAATATCAGCAGTTATGGAAGGTGCTTATGGACGGCTGAAGTCACTGACTAGATCTGTGAAATCAGACAGCCCTGCCTAGGTTTTGAGTCTTCATCTGCAGAATGAGAGAGTGCTACAGGAAGATCCCTACCGCCTGCTCTGCCCCCCAAAATCCATGGTGCCAAGAGGAGCTACTGTTATCATAGTTGCGTACTCTCTATCCTAAAAATGAAAAAAAAAAATATGACTTAAACATAGGAATGAAGCCAACACTTCACCAAAGGTGATTTTTCAAAAGAAAAATCGATAGTATTTTACCAAGTAACAAAGGATGTTTTTTTCTGAGCCTCTCAGTTTAATAAGGTATTTTTTTTTTAAAAAAAAGCACAAATAGTAATATCATTTTCAGGTTCATTTACAGATAAGGAGTAACTTAAAACATTCAATGTCCTGAAAATATTAAGCTCTCCCTAAAATGTCAGTAAACTATATACCATGGCTATATTGAATAAGGATGGGTGTGGGGCTGAGAATATTGTGCGCGTGTGTGTAATTAAACTAAGGTAGACTCTATTAACAGGGAAATTGCATAATATTATATTAAACATGTAAAGAATCGAATATCAAAAACTGTTGATGACAAACCACTTTAAGAAAGCATCAGCATCCCTCTGTGTTCAACACCATATGGTAGAGGAACGCTGAAAAATAAGAGTGTGTCACTGTGCTTTCTTATTGGTTCTGGTAACTCAGAATGCCAGTTAATAAAAGAAAAACTACCTGGAATTAAAATACATTAGGAAATTCTCATTATCTTGGCTACTTACACGGCACAGCAATTAACTTTACTGTTACAACTGTGCTCATTATTAAGACTATATTTTGGAGTTGTGGTTTGGCAAGTTTTATCTTTCAGAAAGTCAGAAAAGTCAAGCACTATTTCTAAGAGACTTTAAATATCATTTGTTGTCATTGTAGGGCAGAATGTGCATTCAGAATGTCTAAATGCTACGTAGTATACCAGATCTCCCTCCCTCACCTTCTTCTCTTTTCCATCTACCTCTTGATTAAAGTTTACTCATCAACTCACATAGTCACGCCCCCTAGCATTTACTAACAGTCCTGACTTCCTTCCTGGGCTCTACTGAAGCAGGCCAGAGACCCCCACCCAGAAGACCCTTGCCATAATTAAGCTTCTACTCTTGTCAGATCAGCGGAATGTCTGCAGAGGTTATTGTAGTTAAAGTTTCCTCTTTCTTGTAAATGCCAGGCTTGCATACAAAATATGGTTTGCACACAAAAGATGTGTTAGTCTGCAAGCTTGTTGTGCACAAAGATACCATTTCTGTTTTCTTGGAAAAAAACTTGTGAAACCTGTGTCTGATCTAGAGGATGGAACAGAAAGTACTTGACATGTAAAACCTGCAAGTCCCTCCTCCCACTGGATATAAAGTTCAAAGAATTTCCAAAATCTTTGTTCAGAGGAAGCATTCTTAGGTGAGAGCCAACTCTGAACCCTGCAGTCAATAATCTTGCTTTCTGAAAATTTCTCAAGTGTCCACCCTCTTTTGTCCTACTTCACTCCTGTCCATTGTCTGTGTGACATCTCTAGTTGGAATACAATAGGCATCTTACTCCACTATTAAGTCTCCTACCCTAAAATGAACTAACTCAAAACATGCTCCTTCTCCAATCTTCTCCATCTCAGTAAAGAGTCTATCAGCATTGCTCACACCCAAACCTTTCTGATTTCTCCCTTACTTTCTCTGTCATTATGGAGCGATTGACAAGTCTGCATGTCTCATGTGCTCTAGTTCCAACCTGTCTCCTGAGTTGATTGCTTCTCGTCATTGCTGCTAAAGACCCCAGACCACCTTCTCTCACCTGTACCAAGATCACACCTCCCTCTGTGGTATTCCTATTTCTACTCTTTTTCCCTACACACAGCAGCCAAATTAAATTCTAGAAGAAGCAAATCCAATTATTAGATATCTTGCTTAAAGCACATCCCTCTTCAATGGTTTTCCACCTCAAGTTCAATATCATCTGTACTTTTTTTTTTTTTAACTATTAACCTCAGTATCACCCTAGTCCTAGCCCATCTTGGGCCTCAGGTTTTAGCGTCACCTGCCCCCCTCATTGAACAAGCTCCAGCCAAACTGATATGGCACTTTCATTTGGTGTCTGTCCCACAAATCCCTCCATCTTGAATGGTTTCACCCTTGCTCTTTAATGGCTGGTTCTTTCAGTATTTGGGTCTCTGGTCAGATGTAACCCCTGAGAGAACTGCTTCCTACATAATTGTATAATTATACAATTATGTATAATATTATCACCTCTCATTTGTTTGTATGGTGCTAGCTATATTCATGCTTCAGAATGCAGGTGTCCTGAGAGCGAAGACCAATCCCTCATATCCACTGCTTTATCAGCAGTAAGTGCTCCCCTGAGCACTCACCCAGGCACACAACTGAGACTCCATAAATATTACTAGCATTAACTGTTTCACTTGATACTGAAGGTATATGAAAGAACTTCTCTGAATTTACATATAAATGCTCAAGGAAAGAAATTACGAATTTATTCTGTCTGTTTTAAATGGAATTTAATTTTGGTAATGCGTGTAACCAAATATTCCTTTAAGTCTATTTTGAAGGCCACAACTAAGCTGTAAAAGACAGACTTGGAAAGGTGTCTATTAATCAGAAGTGGAGCACCAAAGTTGGGCACTGAACTAATCACTGAAAAAGTAAAATATGATCTTAAATTACAGTGATTCTATATCATAGCACAATTTTTTTCCAACTAGATAAGAGATTTCCTAATGGGAGGAATATTGAAAACAACAGAGGGTAATGCAAATAGCCAAGTAGTAGTTGCTCAATAAATAATAAATAATAAAATTGCAATGAGCTCCAGAAAAAAAAGTGTTTTACATATAACCTTAAATGAATTTTGAACTTTACTTTCTCTTTTTCTAAACTTTGGCCAATTATAGTACATATTTGCCAAGCAATAAATGCCTCAGTACCAATTAAAGAACAATTACCAATTGTTAATAGGTTAATAAAACACTGTTACTTTTCTCGAAGTTATTTAGTCTATACAACTAGTTTATATTATTCAGTCATGTTTTTAAAATCATCTAAGATTCTTCTATAAAAAGGAGCTTCATTTGAAAACTGAGTAAGGGGTCCCATCCTTTCAGAAATGTTAGGTGGTCAACAATTCATCATAAATATAGTATGAAATATAATCCAGAGTGGGGGAAAAATCAAGGTCACTGGACTTTAACAAGGTCCAAAAAGCTGCAGGGATGAAACGACAGACTCAAATCATGAAACCTGAGTGCCCCTGAGTGCCATTTTCAACAATTCTCAATGTGAAAATAACGTGTTGATAAATGACAACTGAAAGCCTAAATAATCCTTCACAATTAGAGTAAATGTTTAATTAGAGGAGAGCTGGAAAATGCAGAAGGTTGTAGTCTAGAGTTGCCAAATAAATGTTAGACAACTTCCTGACATTGAAGGTTATGCTATTTGGCAGCATCCTTTAACATTAGAAAAAATTATTTTATCATTTTCAACATAAAAAGAGTCCTTTAAAAGGCTAATTTCAGTAACACTACTTCCCAGTGGGGGAGAAAAACAGTTTCAACTTTGCCTTCTATATCTCCTTCTCCCTTGTCATTAGGTTTGATAAATTTGCTTTTCTGCATCATTCCTTGTTGCAGTCTAAAGTGTACACCTGTGCTCAGTTTTGCCGAAAGGCAGTCACATATTGTGATCAACGATGAAAATCAGACAGGGAGCCAAATTATATCGCTCTGACATCTGTCCCTCCATCTGCTGAGTTTTAACAAACAAGTATAAAGTAAGTCTCTGATTATACCAATGCTCTCATTTTACCTATCACTGTTCAAGTTTCTATACATTCCTAGTTTTATTAGAAACAAAGCAGGAGAGAATATGCTAAATGTAATTCACATTCATTCAGCATGATTTCTGTATTTTTCTTCCTTAAAGGATTGATACATATAGAACAAAATGTTATTTTCTTAGGTTAGCAAATATTTGTTCTTTCTTAAAAAACCCTTTGCTTCCTTAATGCAGATGAAATTTCCTGTAATATAATTGCAACATCATTCTCCATGCTGCAGTGTCCAAGGACTTGAGCATACTTTTTAATTACTTTAAATAATTATGTCCATAAATTATCAACTATTTCTCAATAATAAAACAGAAACTTTCTTAGTGCCATTAATTTTTATTTTCTATTTTAAAGAGTTGTCAATCGACTCTTAGAGATCATTGGCCTTAAGAATTGAGTGTATCTGGAGAAAGAAAACAGTCAAAGTCCTTCTTCTGAATTGGATACTCGGAGGCTTGGGCATAATCTTGTGTGTGATGAACTAGGGCATAGCTGGGAACTGGACAGAAGCCAAATTCTGTGGCATCAAGCCTGACAACCATCCCACATTTCCCTTGTTCTCAGGAGGCGCCAGAATGTGAATAAGAAAATTAACTCTGAAAAGCAAAGAGTTCTCACAAATGTTGCTGTCGTCCAGAAACAAGAACTGCACAAAAATGACCATTTTATCTTCAACAACCAACCAACCAGGAGACAAAGAAATCTACAGAAATTTCCAGCCACCCATGAGATAAAAATGTATGCTAAATCCCAGTGATGAAGTTTGCTATTAAATTCTCATTTGCAAATCTGCCTATGCTTACCACCCTTCCTTCTAATTATTGCAAAATATAAATATTCCCTTTCCTTCATTCTGGCTCAGAGAGCTCTACAATTTCTATTTTTATTTTTGCCATATGCAGTAGCAGAATGTTTCCACAGGGTGGTACACCATGCATATTGAACTAAAGGCTTTTGCAATTCATATGACAGTTACACATTTTTCTAGCTTCACTTAACCAGGAGGCATCAGAATAATTGGCAGCTTTCTGAATGATTAAAATTAAAACAAAATTTTCAATCATGAAGGTCTGCTTATCTCATATTATGACTGACAGTATTATACCTTGTTAGCTTCGTCAATTTTTCCTCTCTCTAGGCAATTTCCCCAAGCCAGACGAAACAAACATATTTAAAATTAGGGAAGAAAATGCAAAGAGGAAATTTATAGAGAATATAGCCATATAAACCAAAATACACAGATACAGCTAAGTTCCAATGACAATCTATGGGGATTATAATCAGGTACCATCATGAGGAGAATTAATATTTCTATGTGATAAATACTTATCCATATGTTGTTCTCTCCAATTATATGACACCGAATAGTGATAAGATTTTGACAGATAATTTGATCTGTCACATATTATTAATTTTTTATTATTTATACTTATTAATATTTTTAATATAACTGATAAGCTGATATAATTCCTTTATATGATAAAGAATCAAAGTCACATTTCAATTTTGGATTTTATACAATAACTACCTTTGCTCTAAGAAATTTTAGGTTAATGAATTGAACTGTTTCAGGAATAAAGGAAAACAATAACTAAATGCTCATGGCTTTAAAAAAAGATGCTAGGTACTTTTAGGTTAAATGTCTAATAGATCAATGCTATTTGCATCATAAGAGAACAATGGAACAACTCATCAATATTTTCTCATATTGATTTTTCAGTTCCATTGTAGAAAATAAGTGACAACGGGCGTAGTGACTAAAGCATTTATCTAAAACACTGGGTCGATAAAATGACATGCTCAGAACTGTTTGTTCTGATATTTCTGCTGATAGCCTGGTCTGCAGATGAGTTGGTGACAGTTTTCACTCTTCAGTTTTTACTTTAACTCTTGTTCCTTTCCTTTTAAGGGGAAAGAAAAAGAAAAAAAAAAAATGTAGCTTTCTCTCCTAAAATAGGAGGAGAGGGGGGCACCTGATCAGAGATCCATCCATCCATAAGACACAGCTAAGCCTTAAAATCAAATAAATGAATGAATCTTCTGCAATTGGTTAGGTCCCAACCAAAGGTAAGTACTTATGAAATTAGGGTATACTTCTGAAAGTATAATATTTAAGTGTTGGTGTAACTTAAATAACTTAAAGTCGGCTTACTTTTCAGAGGATATTTTTCCTTGGGTAAACAGATGAACTGAGCAGGCTGTTTAACCCCATAGTGTCTGAGTAGTTGCAATTAAAAGCTTGGCTTGCTACAAATGCTATTTCTTGGCACAGATATTAGCTCTGGAGGCTGTAGATACTTCTAATTTATGCCACCCTACACACCTTTTTTTTTAAACTGTCTAATATCCTGAAGTTAAAAACTAGACAAAAGAGAAAGCAGTTATACATCTTAGGCTCAGGTGCTAGAGGTTACTGAAAACCCATATTTTTATCCTGGCAATATACTGAAAGAGTTGCCAGAATCAGGCCCTTGAAGATCATTAAAGGTACATAAGTAATCTTTATCAGGTACAGGAGTTCATAGTTTAGTCCAGCAGCATATCATATATTGTCTCAATGGTCAGTTCAGATTTGGAGTGAACATTTAATTTACTTTTTATCTTAGGGAGTTAGCTGCTAGGTGTTTGAAATCCTACCTCTCTCACAGGACCTGCCAAGATAGCCTGTTCCGGAACAATCACAGACATATCTGTTCCACCCATCCCTGCACATGCCATTATTTTTGCAAGGATTGCTAAGGCACGGTTTTGCTGTTTCCCTGGAGCAGGAGGGCTTCACTCCAGCAGTGCTTTGAACTTCAGCCATTTGCCGGATATCTTTGCTTTGGCCATCAATGAACAAATCCCTGATGCAGCCCACGTAGCCATAGTTGAGCAGAGCAGTCCACACCTCGGTGGGGAACACAAGGCCAGCCTTATTTTCTGGTAAGCCCCCCAGGTACAACTCATCATCCAAGTCCAAGATCTCACTCTCTCCAGGAGCAGTGTAGGGCGTGCGCAGTGTGTTGACAGAAATGGTACCTGTTGCCAAGACAAGAGAATACAGAGGTTTCAACAGAGCACAAAGTGTTTTAATTATTCCCTTTCTCTCTTTCATCTGCTTAAGGGTGAACTCCTGGAGGGCAGACATTTCTTAGTATTCTTTCTATCCCCACTGGCAAAGGACCCCAGTCTGGGTCTTCCAAATGACATTAAGAAACCTATGGCATTAACTAACTTTTCTAAATAAAACAGACTAACTGCAATGGTCGCAGTTGATTTTTGAGAATGAAAATCAAATTTTGCAGGCAACCAATTATGTTTCTCAGCCTCCAACAGCTTGGTCATTAAATAAAAACATATATAAAAAAATCTAGAAATTGGCATTCAGTCTCACTCTTTAGAATAAAGTCTGACTCCCCTCCATTAGTTCTTGTTTTCAAAGTTAGTATGTGTCAGCAAACCAAGGAAAGACCCATTGTCCCTATTTTTAACTGTTTTGATTGGATGCAATGGTTTGACAGATTACCCATGTCTAAAGCTCACTTCCTCATTCTTATCTGTCTGCATCTATTGACTGACCTCTATGATTTGGGTTTCTTCATCCATCACATGGGCATAATAACACAACCCACCTCAGAAGACTATTCTCTGTGTTAAATATACCAGTGTCTGGATTATAATAAGCATCACACAAGTGCTCAGTATAACATTTCAGTGAAAGAATCAAGTAAAATCAGTTGTCACTTATCTAAGTCAATAAGGTTTTTGTTTTTTTCACTTCAAATATTAGGGAGAAAAAAACCCTATTGGTTTGTAAGTATACAGGAATCCATGACATAAATGCAATGAACATGTATTCCCCTATATTGGAATACTTGGGGGTCAGGGAAATATGTGAAATCCATGGGGTGGGGAAATGGAAGATTGAAAGCACTTTCTGATGAAAATGTAAATGTCTACTGTCAGATGGCCAAATATTCTGCAATATCCTATCTCCAGAAAAATTTTTACAAAGATATAAATATGATTTCTACACAGGGAACCACATGGGCCCATAACTACATTACACCAGATTTATGTTTTAAGTCTAAATCCTAATGTAGAAGAGGCAGAGTCTGACAAGAGAGAAGAAATTAGCAAAGGTTTCATGCATGCAGGGGTGCTGGGAGAGAGCCTTGGGGATTTAAGGACCAGACCCAAGAGTTACCAGGAGACACAGAGTGGCACATAAATGAGAGGAGAAGGAGTGGGTGTGGGTAGGAAAACACGTTTTAGCTGTTTCACAAAATTCCTAAAGCCCACCATGTGTCTAACTAAGTTCATGGGGCTTCTGGCCCCTACCTTGTGGCCAGGAATTCCCTCCTTGAGCTGGACTGCATAATGGGATCTGTCTTTGTGAAGGAGAAGGACACAGAAGCCAGTAACAGAGATGGCCCAGGGGTCCAAGTCATTAAGGGGACAATTGTCTCTCTAGATTTTCACAGAAAGAAATGGAAAAAGCTCCCAGGGGAGAAACACTCAAAGGCATTGCTATTTTGGCCTTCAACGAGGGGAACATAACAGGGATTTCTGAGGGAGGCAGCAAGACGGGAAAAGGACAAAGTATTCATTTGTACTGTTCAGATTTGTGCCAATGTCTAGAAGAAAAGTTTCATTCAGAAACATGGAAGGCTCCATAAAATCCTACTTAGAAAAATATAAGGAATATCATTTGAGAAATGAAACATATAAGATTAAGAGAGAATGGTGACTCTTTTATCTCTTAAATAGATGGATCATGAAGTGCATTTCTAAAGACTAGTTTTATGTCCAATATTATCCAAAATACCTGAGAAGAGGATCCACAGATAGTTTCCTACCCTCTGTAGCAACTAATGTAAATTAGAATGGGATGAGAAAGAGTTAGTCTTAAGGACAAAAGGAAGGATGGATTTTTAAACAGCACATATTTATATTGGAAGCAAAGGACGACAGACAGTGAACAGTGACTTATGTTTTTAAGACAAAAGAGGGAGGGATGTTACTCTTTTACAATTCGTTCAAGAAGCCTTCCTAGAATCAGTAGAATCCTTGAGGATCTGATATAAAAATAAATACTGCTGAGAATTGTTATAAGACAGAGCTTAGCAAGCAACTATGACAAATTATTACAAGAGTGGGGATAGAGTTGAAAAAAATATATATTGCTCCTGATTCCCACTTTATTTTATTTATGGAACAAGCTTGATTCCCACTTTATTTATGGAACAAGCTTGATTCAACTCTGGAAAGAAAAAAAAAAAAACTTGGCAAAAAAGTATTGTCCTTATTCAGGATGCTATAATTCTGACAAAAAGGCTGCTTGGAGGATTTTCAAGACAAGAGAATTGGGCGGCCATTCTCGCCATTCCCTTTGGTGTCCATAGCTCACTGCACCGTGTCCACACTCTCAGGGGCAAACTTCTGTCAGGTATTTCAAACAGTCATCCATGAGCTGTTAAACAGTGAGCACAAGAGACTGCATCTCTTAGGTTTTGTTTATGGTGTGTTAGTGCCCGCTTTAAGCTAAGTATTATAAGAAAGTCCAGATTTTTTTATGAATGTGCTTATTGACAAGGATACAGTAAAATATTCCCTATAACTTTACCATTAGATCAGTTTTTGTGCCAAAATTCAAAAAGATCATAGTTTTCACATAGCTAAGTACCCACCCCCAACACACACAGTGAAACAAGTTTAACAGGAAAAAAAAAATACTTAGCTCTACTGCCTCTAAGACATTCTGTTATTTACTTTCTCATTATATTCTTTTATTAAAACAAATGCAACAAATTGATTTCAGAAGCAATGAAGAAATTGCAACCTATAGTTGAGAAAACACTGACAGTGTATTGTAGGTATGTTTCTCCACAGTTCCCCCTATTAGTGTCCTTTTGAGAGATAATTGTAGAATTGTCATGGAAAGAAAAGGCAATGACATATGAGAGAAAAGGGAATATAATCCAAATTTGAACTCATATATAAAGCAAGAACAGTTATGATTCCTGGATTCAAAGTTAAGGAGATACATTAGGCAAATGTGTTTATCAAATATCATTCATTGGATTATTCTACAAATAAACTTAATGAAGGAAAATGACTAAAAAAACCAAACACTGTTTTCTCTAATTCTGAAGCATTTGGATTTTAGAGACTCTTTTAAAAAGAGATGGAAAATAATCAAGAGTAGAAGTTAATTTAAGTTGGAATAGAAACAATTATTTTTATATTTTGAAGATTTATATAATAAAGACCCTTTGAAATGATAATTAAATTCCATTGTTGAGTCAAACTCAAACAGATATTTCTATTTTAACCTACATGTGTGTAAATGTCCTGAACTATACCTATTTCTGATAAGGGATTTGAATCACACATCTCCTTAATGATATTACTATGGACATGATTCAAAGGACATATTCACCTGAGCAAAAGAGTCATAACAGAATCTGAATTAGTTTAAACCAATTTAATAGATACATATGAGCACAGTGAAATTTAAATCTTAAGTTTCCCAAGTGTTTATTTAATTATAATTGAGGTATAAAGGCAGTGGTTACAAAGAACACCTCACATGAATATTTAAATCTTGTTCATTGATAATTAAATGCAATTGAGTAGTTAACAAAGATGTACATATCAACAGAAAATGGGAATTTCACAATGGCATAAATGAAGTAAACACATTTTTAAGGAAAAATGAAAACCTGGAAATATTATTGGCTTATCCCTCTAAGTTGAATTAATTGAATTTTTAATTTTGAATTCTAGCCAGGCAAACCTCCTATCTTGATAGGTTTTCTTTGAAGTAGTTTGATTAATTTATATGCTACACCTTCCACCATAAATAATTTGTAAGTTTCCAGGGGATTAAATCAAAACTTTATAAAAACATTGTTATATTTAGGCTGTTAAAAATTGTTGACACTACTCATATTTAGGGATTTATTTAGATTAGTTCCTCATGCCTAAATATTTAAGAATCCAAAGCACCCTGCTATGTTATGCTACTTTTTAAAGGAATACAATTAGAGGTAAAGATGGTCATACATACATATTTCTTTTATAATTTTAATGTAGAAACCATATTACATTTTACTAACATTTAATCCATTTTTATGGCTATTGATATAAGCAAAAGAATAAAAAGTTTATAAGTGAAAAGTTAATATATATTTAAGAATAATCAAAAGCATAAATGAGAAATTCTGTTGTTTAAATTTGTATATAAATGGAGAAAAGACTATTGAAAATGCTCTTAGTTTTAAAAGTAGAAATCAACTTTACAATTTGGAAAGGTATTCACAACCTTGGGGTTTCCTTTTCTTACCTCCATTCAATTTTACATGGCTATTCTACTCTAAAACTAGTTTCCATGTTGACAAGAAACACGGTGTGAAGATAAGATTTAAAATAAGATAATTTAATTTCTAGTTTTAAATTACTATAAGAGCCTAAATTACTAGGAAATGAAGGGTAGAAAACAATTTTCTGCAATGGAATATGATTTTGCCTGGTGAGAGGAAACTGATTTTTATGTTCCAGCTCTTTGACTAACTAGTTGTCAAGTTTAGCCAAAAAACATATTCATTAGGCCTTCTTGTGGCTTTTGTGCAAAATAAGAGAATTGACAAGATGAAACTGAAGTTCCCTTTTGAATAAAAATCTTGCAATTGCTGCTTCAAATCATTTTTAAGTTAAATGTCAATTTTATTCACCCATAATTCCACTCTACCTTCCACTATGCAAAAGAATCACATTCCACAAAGTTACACAGAATTCTTATTCTATTAAAAAATTTGAACTCAGTAAAAACTCAATGTGGTAAAAGCAAAATAATACATTAATAATACGATATGATGCAAAATGTAAAATAAATAGTCTCATAAAATTGTTTGAAAAATGAACAAACAATAACAATACCAATAGGGATTATCATTACCAATAAGGATTGTCATTAACAATTGGGATCTTAGGTTATGAGGATTATGAGCTGTTAGTGGGCTTTTCTGTTTGTCCTT